GTTCGAGCCAATGCCCGCCTGTGTTGCCAGGCCAGCAGTTGCAATCTGCCTGGAACGAAGCACCTATTGGCTCCCGCTTGCTGGCCAGACCTCCTTTACGGTTAAAAAGGGGTAAAAACTGTGGTAATAACTCTGGGGATAATAATGATTCAGATAAGTTGCCTGTCCTTAATAGTCCTGGGGATAATAGTGCCGATCAAAGCGAACCCACAACCTTCTACTTTGGCGTATACCGCTCTTGTGATGAGTTTGTGAAAGATGCGGTAAGAGCTGGACATCCCATTGGAAAACAAAACAGGCTGCCTTCTGCCTTGCAAGAAGCGCTTGACTTTGTGACTTCAAAGTCAATTTATGAGGTTGCAAAACACAGGCATGACACCCTTGCTTTCTGGCTTGAAAGGGCGAAGTCGTTGGCAGCCCAAGAAACCGAGCTGCATGAGAGCCTTCACGAATCACTCAGGGACATCCTGAAACCGAAGCGCTTGTTGCTTTGGAAAGAAATGCTCCAGTTTTATGGTTATCCAGACCTAGAGGTTTTTGAAGAAGTTTGCCATGGCACTCGCTTAGCTGGTGCAGCCCCAGTTGTCCCCTCGTTTGACCCCTGCTTCAAGCCCGCAAAGCTCACCCTGAAAGAACTTGAAGCATCAGCTAAGACTTCTCGTGCAGCGCTCCTTGCAACAGTCCGTTCCTCTGGCGATGTTGAAATTGATGAAACGGTTTTTCAGAAGACCCTGGAGGAACTGGATTGTGGGTGGCTTGAAGGACCGATTCCTATTAATGACCTCCCCGATAATGCCATCGTCAGCCGACGATCTGGGATACGCCAGACATCCGGGGACACCATCAAAGTTAGGCTTATTGATGATTTCTCGGCATCTGGGGTGAATGATACAGTTCAAGTTGAAAGCGCGGCAAAGTTACACACCCTTGATGTTGCAGCGGCACTTTGCATGGAGCTGCTAAAATCCTCTGCAGACCAGCAGTGGTTGGGAAAAACCATCGACCTATCAGCCGCCTATAGGCAACTCGGTATCTCACCAGAATCCAGGTGGGTGTCATATGTCGCAGTATTTGATCCAAAGGCCCGGAGACCAGCTGTGTTTGCCATGAAGGCGCTGCCATTTGGAGCAAGCAACTCAGTTTACAGTTTTTTAAGGGTGGCACACTCCCTGTGGTGGCTAGGTTGCAAAGCCCTGCGATTGATTTGGAGCAATTTCTTTGATGACTTTATCACGCTCGCCAGGTTGCAAGAGACGGAGCTCGTGACCATAGCAGCCCAGCAGTTCTTCAAACTTTTGGGGTGGGCAGTGTCTTTAGGAGATAAGGATCAGCCCTTTGCTCAGATTTTCAAGGCGCTTGGGGTTGAGATTGACTGCACCAAATGGGCAAGTGGGATTGTCTCCTTTGCCAACACTAGCAAACGAGTTGCTGAGCTGGTGGCCGCGATTGAGGAAATACTAAGTGCTGGGTCTATGAGTACCCAGGAAGCGCTGGTTTTACGTGGCAGGATGCAATTTGCAAAAGCACAGATTTGTGGAAGAGCCTCCAAATTGTGTCTCAATGCAGTTACCTCGCATGCTTACCAGGGGTCGAGCAATGCGTTGTGTGAACACACAGTTGATTGCCTGGTGGCCTTCCGCGATTGCCTGAAGAGCGCAAGGCCCAGAGAGATTACCCCCCTGTGGGATGTTCCTTTCTATGTATTCACAGATGCTTCCTTCAACCCGGAGGATAAAATTTGGCCATGCGGCCTTGGCGGTGTTTTGGTTGACAGTTGTGGCCGACAGGTTTCTGCATTTTCCTTGACGCTCCTGCACACTGACCTCTTGTTGCTGGGATATCCTGAAAAGAGCACCGTCATCTTTGAAGCTGAATTGCTGGCGTTGATTGTGGCGCTCATTGTCTGGCGGAAGTTCCTGCGCCACCGCCCTTGTGTTGCCTACATAGATAATAACTCAACCCGTGACGTTAGCATCAGTGGCACTGCAAGAACCCAACCTGGTAAATCGTTAGTTGCACAATTGCTTGAAGCTGAAGACGTGGGTGGTATACTTGCATGGTACACCAGGGTTCCCTCCAGTAGTAACATTGCTGATGCTCCATCACGAGGCAAAGAAGATGGAATCACCACCAAATTCATGCCTGCAGAATTTGTGCGTTTAGTTGTTAACAAATGTCTTTCAAAAACAAACCAAACCGGTTAAAGTGGGGAATCACGTGGCTGACCTGGCACAGTTTCGATGCGAAGCTTTTTGGTTTTTCAGCAGATACAGATGAATGGCGGTTGCAAAGAGTTGTGGTGTGATGGCCCTCAAACCGAGGAGCTTTGTGAATGTGTGTTTCTGCTCTTGGCAACATGTGCCATTCATGGAGCGACCTGACATCGCCCATTGTTGCTCCGCTGGAAAAAGAGTGAGACCGCGAAGCCAGTGTCATGTCACTTTCCGCATGTCAGTTTTTGTGCATGTTGTTTTTACTTGTTTTTAGTCGAACGCGTGTTTTTGCGTTCTCCGTTTCTTGGAAGTATTGAACACACTTCCTGATTGCGTGGCGACTGAAACGTTTGGTTTAAGCAAACTGTCAACGAGTTGATAGTGCATTAAACCAAAAAGTGAAAGCAGAAAATTTATGCCCAAAAAATTTCTAAGCCTCGCAAACACCTGTCCTGCCAAACCGCGCAGCGATTAAACTCAGGCAAATTATATAACCTGCTTGAAACCAAACCCTTCTGACTTGTTGTTTGAAATAAGTAACAACCTGCCCGGCTCTTGAAACTAACCAGTTTCAAACCGTGTAAACATCGATGCCAAATAAATTCAAAAATGCAATCTGTACAATGCTACACTTGTCGATGTTTTTGCATGTTCTTTCATGTTGGATTGGTGTTGACTTTTTGGTTTCAAGTTGTTTTTCCCACTCAAGATGGTTTTGTCCCACCCCGTGTTACTCCCACCCTTTTGCCCGGCTCTTGGAAAACATCCGTTTTTCCAATCCGTGTCTGCACAGTTGCCTTTTACACTTCAAGCAACTTCGGGACCTTCCATATTTGCCACCGGGCTACAGTGATGCAAGCCCCAAATATAGTCAACTTCGCCGTGGCCACGTCCATTTGCGTGATGTTTTTCCAGGGGACAGAGACCGATATCAGGGTCCGCCATTTCCAGGAAATCGCAGAAGCGTGCTTACGCTTACTGGAATACTTGGGGCGCCCACCATTTTTGAAGAGCATATTCGACCTATGGGTCACTACAACGGCCGCCCTTGCACAATTGGAAAGAATGCTCTTTCCCAACGACCAGGTGCAGACACCTACCCATCTAGCAGCACCGCCTGCTTGGAGACCACTCTCAGCTGTTTGTGAGCCCGCCTTTGCAGGCCATCATGCCCTCATCCAACGTGCACTTCGACATCTTGAACAATTCCGCACGTGGTTCAGCAATGCATATGATATTTATTTACACCATGAGACGCTCCATATGCTGGATGACTCCATTCTCTTGCTTCAATCGGTTGAACATTTCATTCAACTTCAACCAGCACCTGCTGAACCAGCCCGTGCCGAAGTACCCGATTCCACTGGTGGAGTTGCTGTGGCACCAACAGCCACCCCTGAGCAAGCTCCGGCCTTTTCTGACCCTTGGCATGACGACAGCTGAATCGGGAATCACGTGGCTGACCTGGCACAGTTTCGATGCGAAGCTTTTTGGTTTTTCAGCAGATACAGATGAATGGCGGTTGCAAAGAGTTGTGGTGTGATGGCCCTCAAACCGAGGAGCTTTGTGAATGTGTGTTTCTGCTCTTGGCAACATGTGCCATTCATGGAGCGACCTGACATCGCCCATTGTTGCTCCGCTGGAAAAAGAGTGAGACCGCGAAGCCAGTGTCATGTCACTTTCCGCATGTCAGTTTTTGTGCATGTTGTTTTTACTTGTTTTTAGTCGAACGCGTGTTTTTGCGTTCTCCGTTTCTTGGAAGTATTGAACACACTTCCTGATTGCGTGGCGACTGAAACGTTTGGTTTAAGGTTAGACTTCAGAGATGTCAAGACACCCAAAAGAATAGGGTCAACTATTTGATAGTTGAACCTATTGTTTTGTATACATGCACACAATGGAAAGGAAACGCCAAACACATAAACTTGTTGAATGCTATTTCTAACCCTGAAACGTGAAAGGTTGCAAGTTTATTTCAACAGTGCCTTGTCATTTCCAGTTGTCATCGGTGACTTCAACATTGTTTTAGGGAAACGGTGGTGCAGCGCAGCCATGACCTTAATTGATTCTGAAGCTGCATTCAAGCAACGTTGTGCAGAGTTGTCAACGGCCACATTGGATTTGCATACACTGCTGAAAGCTCAAAACATTTCATGTTTCTCGGAGCTGGCCTTTGCGTGTGGAGCTCCCAACAAAGCTCCTACCGATGATGAGTTCAGAACCTTTTCAACACAGGTCTTGGGAGATGGTTTCACAGCAGGGCAACAGAGCTTGTTGAGGAGAATCCACTTCGAAGCGGCGACATTTGTTTTGTCACAGTTGAAAACAGCAGTGACCAGTGATGCTTTAGATGGCACAAAGAAGTTACCGTTTGCAGAGAAGCAAGCAAGGTACGAGATGATCAGGACCAAGATACCTGGATTCCTGGTTCAGGGTGAAACAGAACCGTCCCATGCGTTGCTGGACAAGTGCCAGAACATTTACGACACCGGAGCAATCATTTGGGTTTCTCCATCAATGTGCACCAAGAGGGATGCAGAAGTACAAGCAATGCCAAAGGACTCACACCAGATCCTTCGCATTGAGTCACAGACGCTTAAGGTTGGAACAGATGGGCCTAAGCTGGATGATGCAGACCATGGATCAGAGATCAAATTACAATGGTGTTTTCAGCGCAGGGGCGTGGCATTTGAGATGTGCAACATGGTGTCTTGGGATGTATCCCAAAAATGGCTGGCCACGATGTTTGCAGCTTACTCAACAGACCCTCCGCCGGGATTTGGAAAGGTCGGCTTACAGCAATTGGTGTCAGCAGACAAAGCAATGTGGACCATATTGGCTAGAGAGTTGCCGACTGTCAAGCCAGACAATACGGGAAAGAGGCCGCGGGATGAAGCCATTTTGAAGCTGATGCATGACCCTCGCATCACCATGTATATGCTGTCCCTTCCAAACAAAGGGCCAGCTTCCTCAGTGCAGACGCGGCCAGCCAGTACCTCAGCCACGACACCCTCTACGGTGCAGCCAAAGAAAAAGGCTAGACCCAGCAAGAAGAACAGGACAGCCCCTACTCCTCCTGATGAGCTCAAAGGGTGCTATCAGCATACATCGGATAACAAGCCGATTTGTTGGTCGTATAATCTGAAGAATGGATGCTCCCTTGAGGCATCTGGACAGCCTCCCAAGTGCAGAAGAGGAGTTCACATTTGCGCCTTCTGTCGCAAGACAGGTCATTCGTTTCAGCAATGCAAAGCGGCTCCGGGGAAGTCTTCCCCCCACTGACAAAAGGGCCCGAATCAATCAGATACAGTTTCACATCACAATTGGTTGCAGGAGATGCCCAACACGCCTGAAGGCGCCCAGTTGGAAGATAGTGTCACCGACTCAAGCGATGCTGAACAACACACTGCTGAAAAATGTTTCACTGAAGATCCAAGTGGTGCCACAACTAACTCGAAAGGTTCTGTTTGAAAACATTCTTTTCTTGGAGGTATTCGCTGGAACTTCTTCACTAATAATCGAGGTGCGCAAAACAAACTTGCGTGGAGTGGCTGTGGACAAAGGTACGGAGAGAGCGAAAGGGCCTATCACAATTTTGGACCTCACCATGCCAGAAGACTTGCAGTTTCTGATGGATTTCATTCGGCAGGAGGCTCTTAACCTCTGCCTGGTTCATTTTGCACCACCGTGTGGAACCTGTTCAGCCGCAAGAAAAAGAAAGTTACCTTCAGAAGTGCAAGCGAAGTTGAAAGACGCTGGAATAACTCCGCCACAGCAGTTGCGTTCCGAACAATTTCCAATGGGGCTCCCAGGGATTGCAGGTCTTGATTTATATAAAGTGGAACAAGCCAATAAACTGTACTTTGCAACAAGGGATTTAGCCCTACTGGCGATTTCACTGGGTATACGAGTTTCAATGGAAAACCCCACCAATAGCCTCTTTTGGAAAACGGATCCTATTCAAGAACTTTTGCAAGCTCATCCGGGACACTGCAATATTTTTCACAACTGTATGATGGGCGGTGAGAGACAGAAACAGACAACTTGGTGGTGCAATGACCAGTTTTTCTCTTCATTTAATTTGCCTTGTTCAGGGGATCACCCTCACAAGCCATGGACACCGACTCTGACAGCTGATGGTGTCCATTATCCTACAAAGGATGAAGCGGAGTATCCAAAGCTCCTATGTCAGAGAGTGGCTGCACTTTTAATTGCTGATTTGCAAGCGCGAGGCATTGAACAACCGCAAACCATAACACAGCAGATTGCCCAGCGACGCACTACAGCAATCAACTCGGTAGCTATGGGCTTACTTCCCAGAGGTCAAAAGCTGAAACCTTTGGTCAGCGAGTTTGGTCATTACGTACAATTTGCTGTCAGGCCAGATATGGATGCAAGCCGCATTCTGCCACAACTCACAAAAGGAGCTCGGATAAGAGACCGGAAACTTCTTACTGGGGGTGACAAGCGGGTTTCCGACTTAACTGGTGAATCTCTGAAATACTTGGAAGGATTTCATGTTAGCAATGAGACAAAGGTTGAGCTTGTGACGTTTGGAATCCCAAGAGAACCTTGGGATTTTGTGAAAAAGGCTGCACAGGTTGGGCATCCGAGATTCTTGCCATACGCGGGTTCAGAACAGCTTGATGACTTGTTGCGGACAAACCTGAACCATCATGCTTGCGGGTTGGATGATCTGAGACTAGCCTTTTTCAAGAAATGGGTGAAAAGAGCGAAAGAGTTAGAAAGGGATGAACGAAATCTCAGACTGAATCTGGGAGAACATGTCAGGCACGTTTTACAAGGGAAGCGCTTGTTGGTTTTCAAGGAGATGCTGGAGGACCTGCAGTTCCCAGACAAAAACCTCTTCAGCGACATAATTTCAGGCTTTAGATTGTCAGGTTGGATGAGAGATTCGCAGGTGTTTATGAGCTTGCCCCGTCCTCCTAAACTAACCTTGGAAGCCCTCCTTAAGTCCTCTCTTGGTTTGCAAAAAGCCGTGCTTAAGCGTGTCAGAGAACCAGAAGATGCAGAGTTACACTTTGCCGCTTGGGAAGAAACCCAAGCAGAATGCGAGCGAAAATGGATCTGGGAGGACACAACTGGTGATCTTCACAACAAAATCATTGCACATCGGTTTGGTCTGAGGCAGAATGAAAAGGTGAGAGTCATCGACAACTTCAAGCAGTGTGGTTTGAACGACGCTTGCGGGCTTCCTGAGAAGTTCACTTTGCATGGGGTGGATTTCATTGCAGCTTCATTGATCAGAGCGCTGGTCTTGAATCAGAAGTCGAACACGGTTGCTTTAAAAGGAAAGACGTTTGACTTGAAAGCCGCATACAAACAATATCCAATCCACCCTACAGACCGCCAGCACCTCAGGATAGCAATTTGCGATCCTAACGCTTGCCAGGCGAAGCTCTACGGCTTAAACAGCCTCCCTTTCGGGGCGACGGGTAGTGTTGCTGGTTTCCTCAGGGTCAGTTCGGCCCTCTTTTATGTCTTGAGCGTGGGCTTGAAGGTGTGGTGCAGCGCTTTCTTTGATGACTTCCCAACAATGGCAGCCGATGCAGAAGCCGCTCAGACGGATAAGTGCGTTGGCTTCCTGTTTGCCTTGCTTGGAGTGCAGTATGCAAAGGAGGGCAAGAAAAACCAACCATTCAGCAACGAGATGAGAGCACTGGGCCTCATCTTCGACTTGGCTGGGTTTGACGAAGGTGTTGTCTTTATAAAGCACACGCCTGAACGCAGGTCAGAATTGCTGGAGAGAATAACATCAATCCTGAAATCCAACGAGCTTTCCCCGAAGGAGGCCGAGTCATTCAAGGGCAGAGTGCAGTGGTTTGAAAGTTTCTTGTTTGGCCGGACGGCAAACCTTGCTATTCACCGACTTGGAAAAAGAGCCTTGATGAAAGGTGGAAGGCAGGGACACAAACTCGATGCAGAACTACGAACCTCCTTGGAATTCCTCCGACACAGGGTTGAACATGGAGCTCCTCTTCAACTTACTGCCATAACGGAGCAGGCTATTCTTATCTTCACCGATGGAGCCTTCGATGAAGAGACAGGCATCGGGTCAATTGGTGGAGTCCTCTTGGATCACAACGGCACAGCACTCAGCTACTTCAGTGAGAGGGTCCCTAACCTGCTAATGGAACTTTTCCTGAAGGAGGCGGAAAATCCTATTTACCTGGTAGAGCTGTTGGCGGTGCATGTTGCCGCTTTTCTTTGGGGTGGCCAGACGTTTGGCAGGTACATCGTGATGTACATCGACAACGAAGCCTCTCGAATGGCCTTGGTCAAAGCCTACTCCTCCACCCTTCTTGGAAACGTTGTGATACAACTCTTTGTGCAAGAAGAAGACCAACATCAATGGAAGGTGTGGTTTGGAAGAGTTTGCAGCCACTCAAACATAGCTGATGGCCCCAGTCGTGGACATGTTGAAGACATGAAAGCTTGTGGGGCTATGCACAGCCAGTGCGCATGGGACGTGGTCATATGCTCACTGGAAGCAGTCGAGCACAGGCTCAGATGGGGGTGATGGCGGGTGCTCGATGTTGCATCCCATCATTCCGGTTGGAGCTTGAATAGACCCCCTTGCAGAAAAAGAAAGAGCGGCGATCCTTCACTCAGTTGCAGTTGATTCAGAATTTCACATGTCCGTTTTGCACTTGAATTTTTGGAAACTTCACATGTCGGATTTCTGCACGTTGTTTTTCATTGGCGCGTTTCTCGACGTTGCGTATGATGTACTATATATATATTTATATATGTAGATATGAAGAGTTGGTTTAATACTAATTTACGTGGAGTCAGATTATATGTCTTTTGACATTGCCAGCTTCTGGTTCTGCGTTCCCTGGTTCACACTTGGGTGGTTTTGTAAAGGGAATAAGTTAGCGCTCCTGCAAGGATGATAACATTATTCCCTGCAACAAAATCTTTTGCCTGTTTTTGTGAGGCAAAAGAAACCCAACAAGTGTGAACCAAAACTCAACTGTTTCAAATCGAAACTTGAATTTCCACAACTGCTGTTTTTCCAGAGTTGGTGGTTTTCGTTAATCCTTTTCTCAGGTTGTCAAGGTTTTGTTTAAACTTGTTGAAACAAAATCACTGAGAAATCTGAAACTCCGTTCTGCACTCCTCTGGGTAGGTTTAATATCTTTGTATATGTCAGTCCTGCGGTTCAAGCGTTCTACCCTCCCACAACCACCCTCTTGAACTTCCATACCTACCTTACATGTTACGTGCCAGACGACACACCAGTGTTATAGTAGTAGTAGTAGCAGTAGTAGTAGTAGCAGTAGTAGTAGCAGCAGTAGTAGCAGTAGTAGTAGCCCGCCTGGAAGCCCCCTTGAACCCCCCTTGAAGCCCCCCCTTAAGCTCCCCCTTAAGCCCGCCCTTAAGCTCCCCTTGAAGCCTCTCTTGAAGCCCCCCTTGAAGCACCCCCTTGAGCCCCCCCTTAAGCCACCCCTTAAGCTCCCCCTTATGCCTCCCTGGAAGCCCCCCCTTAAGCCCCCCCTTGAGCCCCTTAAGCCCCCCCCTTAAGCTTAAGGGCTTCCACCCTTCAAGGGAGGGGGGGAAGGGGGGGCACCCTTCATGACCCCTTAAGCCCCCCCTTAAGCCCCCCCTTAAGCCGCCCCTTAGGCCCCCCCTTAAGCCCCCCTTCAACCCCGTTTCGACGAAGGGGGTGGGCCCGCCCTCGAAGAAAGACACTGCTTGCCCAGCTGAATTCACTAAAACCGCTCCTATTGAGCCTGTTTTGCTTTGTTCTCTTTCGCAAGCTCCGTCTGAAAACACATACCACGTTTGTAAACTGGTGGCCATGACCTTCGTAGGGGCAGCTGTGAGAATTCTGCTCCGCAAAAATTGAAGAGCTCTTATCTCTTTGCCCCCAACCCTTCTCGTTTCCTGCCAACAGAAGCCATGCCGCTTACGACTTTCAAAGCCTGTTGGGCCACCCTCCCGTGCGAAAAAGTTTCGAACCACTGAAGCCTTGCTCTCAATCGCTCAGCGTCTTTGCAAGACATGGCTCCTCGCTCCAAGATGGCTTCAATCAAAGCCCTGAGTTCCTCAACCCTAGCTTCAGTGTGTCCAAAAGTGACAAACCGGTTGGTGACTCCTGTCTCACGTTCAGGCGCCTTCAAAGGTGAAGGAAACTTACGCTGTTGCAATCCCTGCCATAGATGTTCATATAGCTGTCATGTACATACATGTTTGCATATGCAGTTTCATGTCCAGTTGTGCAGACAGTTGAGTTGAAAACTACTCCAATTCCGTTTTGCTTTCATAGCATGTACAGCAGTGATATCCGAGGCGTTTGCCAATCAAGGAAAACAATCATGGTAGCGGAGCCCGATGATCCAGGAGGCATTGCAACCTGGTGAGGGCTCAGAGAAAGGGACTTAGGTCTTTCGTTGCTGATAGCTGATGGCTTCACTGTCAGATCAGGATGTGGCGGCCTTGGTTCAAGCAGCGTCGGACGCTGCCAGAGCTGCTAGTGAGGCAGTGGTTGCTCTTCGCGACCAACAATCAAATAGAAGTTCAACTGCTGGAGGCTTTCAGGAAGCTAGCAAGGTTGTTAGACAACCTGAGCCATTTGGGTCAGAATGTCACGAAGACGATTTGGCAAAATGGCAGGACTTTAATGTGAGTTTCAAGGCTTGGCTGTACTACGGCAACAAGCACTTTGAGACAGACCTCCACCGAGTTGAAGTGACCCATGCTGAGACTCCAATTTCCAGCGTGGATGGTGAGCCGCAGGAAGTGAAAGACAGATGCAATCAGCTTTACAGCATACTGACTGGCCTTCTCAAGGGAAAGCCCCTCCGTCTCCTTCGACAAGTCAGCAACAGGAATGGGTTTGAAGTTTGGCGACAACTATGCCAGCTGTTCATGCCCAGGACTCGAAGCCGTGCAATTTCAATCTTAGCTGCCTTGATGGGTGTTCCGAGTTTCACTACAAAGGATAGAACCTTGCTGGACCAGGTGTTGGGCCTAGAACGCATGCGTGCAGAATATGTTCGCTCCAGTGGCACCGACATCCCAGATGACATCATGCTCTCAGTGCTTGTGCGTGCGCTGCCAAAGGCAATTCAACAGCATGTGCAATTGCAGCTGAGCGAGACATCGACCTATGACCAAGTGAGGGCGATGGTGGTGAGCTATGAGCGCACTACAACTTCATGGTCCCCAGGCAAGATTCACTCAGAGTTGGGCATTTTGCCCCAAAGTCAAAATCAGAGTTTCAATCAACCCTCCAACAATACTGGTTTGGCTCCAATGGAGATAGATCGATTTGAGAAGGGAAAGAATAAAGGAAAATCCAAAGGAAAAAGTAAGGGTAAAGAGACCACCAAGGGTAAAGGGAAGAACAAGAGCGACAAGGGAAAAGGTAAGTCCAACAACAAGGGCTCCACTCGCACTGCAACCAGCAATGACCAATGCTTGCACTGCGGGAAATACGGGCACTTCAAACGTGACTGTTGGAAACTTCATGGCCGTGGTGACCAGAAGAATGTGAATCAGGTTGAATCCAATGCTTCGAACAATGCAGCCAGTGCCTCGAGCAACTCCTCGACTGCCAGTGGTGCTACCAGCTCTTCTGGTGTGAATGGCTCCGTGCGTCTTTTCACTGGACTTCATGAATCACATGGACCCATCATTGAAGATTTGGATGAAGATATTGAAATCAGAGATCTAACTGGTTATGACTCTTTTGGTGCATGCAACATGTTTTCACAAGTTTCTACAGACTATTCAAACGAATGGTTTGGCTGGGACGACACCGCAGAAGCTGAGGGTGTTTATACAGCGTGTTGCAGCCGTTTTGACATGTCTTATTCTGACCATGACGATGTTTGGACATGTGTTGATGACAACGTTGAACAGTGTGAACACTTTTTCATGCATGAGCACAATGACGTTTGCACCATTGAGAATATCAGAACGGTTGGACACTCAGATCATCACAATGTGGAGGTGGTGCTTGATTCTGGCGCTGATGGATCAGTGCTTCCACTTGCGTATGGTGATGTAGGCTATGCTGATGAGTCATTTGATGGTTCCAAGTTCATTGATGCACAAGGTAAGCCTATTCAGGTGAAAAGTGTCAGGATTGCTGAAGTGAAGTTTGGATCAGTTGTTTTTCGAGAACGTTTTATTATAGCTGCAGTTACCTCACCCCTGATTTCCATGGGCAGACTGCTGAAAGATGGTTGGCTCCTGCAGACCAATAAGGACGGTAGCATGTATTTGGTGCGCAATTCCAAGCAGATCCCTGTGCACTTCAAGCGCAACTCCCTTTGTGCTGTTGGAGTCATTCGAATGCTATCTTCAGATGATCCATCTTCTTCCACTCATGCAGGAACCTGTGATGATGCTGAACACGTTCGAGCTCTTACGTTGGGTCGAGCGCTATCAGGTCTAGGTGCTGGTTGGGTCAAGCTTGGTGATTCTATTTATGCACTCAAAAGCAATGCAAATCAACATGTTGACAGTACTTTGTGCCCCAGTGACGGTTTGTTGTGGTTGCGTACAACACTCATACATTTGGATGATGATACATGGGAGCTCGATGAGTTTTGTCAGAATATCAGTGATCTGAGAACAATGACTGGTCCTTTTGAGGCCAACAGACCGGTGACTGAAGTGATCACTATTGCTCATACTGCGACTGTGCCACCAGAGGTTTTGGGATTCACTTTGCATGATGACAATGTTGTCATAGCCCCACGTAGTGGAATTCCTTTGCGTGTTTTGCCACCTGCCGCTAGGTCTGATATGGATGATGTACCAGCTGCAGATGAAGCTGAACAATCTGTGCCTGAACGAGGCGCTGAGGTGGACAACAACGAAGTGATCATTGATGGCTTGAGACTGGATTCCAACTCTCCTCTCAAAACTTTGGTTGCAGCATGTGAAACACTCGGTATTTCTGGACGTGGTGGAAAAGCAAAGTGCCTCAAACGTATTTGGGATCATTTGCAAACCCAGGAGTTGATTGCAGCTCATGGTGCTCAACAACAATTACGTGGCGACATTGCAAGGCCTGTGCACTCTCAATCTGTACCGGCTGAACCCACTGAGAAAGAGATTGCAGATCACAATTTGACCCATCAACCCTTTGCAGCTTGGTGTGAGTTATGTATTGCAAACAGGTCACAACAAGATGGACATCCAGCTCAAAGAGATGAATCAGCTGGTGCCCATACATGTGTCAGTTTTGATTTTGGTTTCGCATCACGAACGGAGCATGAACCTAAAGCTTGTGGTCTTTTCATTCACGATCGTCATTCAGGTGCTATGCATGTGGTTCCGACGCCGCAGAAGGGAGGACGACACTTGCAGTACCTTTGCACTGAGTTTTGTAGATTTTTGGTTTGGCTTGGGCAATCGACAATTGCTCTTCGATGCGACCAGGAGCCTTCAACGCTTTCTTTGCTTGAAGCTGTTAAGAAGACATGCAGACCACTTGGAATCAGAATCATTGAAGAAACAGTTCCTCCAGGAAGTCATGCTTCGAATGGAGCTGCAGAAGTC